CTTGTGAATTTATTATTTATGCACACAGATTGGAACTTCTCCTGTCCGCCGGATTCCATGTCCTGACATATTTTACCATCACAAGCACAACTACACAGGGACTCACAGGGGATTATATCCACCTGCATGGGACAGGGAGACTTCAGGGATTAAAGAGTGGTAGGGAGTCTGGGGGGGAGGGATATGGATAGGATTGGGGTACGTGCATTGTTTGACTATATGATATGTTTTGTCCAATTGTTATGTCCTTAACCACTTGCACTCCTGAGGATTTACCCCCCTTCCTGACCAGACCATTTTTTGCGTTACTGCTCTGCGTTATTTTAACTGACAATTGCGCGGTCATGCAAATAAGTAATCACCAGCTGGGGCCCCGGTGATTGACAGCCGCGACCGCGAATGACAGCGCGGATAGGAGTGCGCATGTGCCCCCTACCCGGAAATGCAAAGTCACATATATATACGTGATTTTGCGCACCCATGCCGCCCTGTAGCAGTATTTCTGCTATAGGGCGATTGGGAAGCGGTTATAAACTGCTTAGTAGCCTTTCAGGTGCTATATCCTTTTGTGGGGTTTTTCTTTAGAGTGTACAGGTATTGGATGCACCTCCCCTTCTATTCAGGGTTCTGGCATTGGCAGATATACTACTCCCGGGACAGGCTATTGGCCATGGGGGTTTTATACATCCTCCCTGTTCCCTAACTTTTCAATTATGTACAATACAAACCTTTCTGGGTGTACACATACAGCAGCATTCTTATGCTTTTTAAATGCTCATTAACAATTTCAATATTGATGTTAGAAGTAACAACTTTGTAAAGTGCTAACAACAGATTGGACAGGGTAAAATAGAGCTTCAAGTATTTAGGGCACCTTGAACAACCCTAAACAGGCAAACACATACTTTAATGCGTACTGTAATTATTCAAGCATCACACGTAATATTAATTTTCAACTTTTATTAATTATTTCAAAGTGTTCCTGAAAAATTACACACCAGGTCAAAGCCACAATTAATAATAATTCAGTAATGTAATTAACAACTGGCAAGTTGGAGTATGCCTGAAAATAATAATCAGATTATATTTTTATTTATTTACTGTGTTTAAATAATAATTATAATGAAATAGTAGTTTCCAGCATCAGCCTCTTACAGCTGTTAGTTCTTAAAGCAGTATTAATCCCAAAAGCAAACATTTCTTATATTGCAGCTTTCCAATTTTAATATGTGATAGCTGCATTTGTTTTCTTTTTTAAGCTTTCTTTCATCTATTTTCATATTCAGGATGTTATGTAACATGTTATGATTGCACTGGCCTCCACTCTCCCACTTTGATGGCTAGCGGGGGATTCTCCCCCCTCGCTAGCTGTCAAATTTTTACAAAAACTCGCTGGCGCTGTGGAGCGCCATGATAGTTTATCGATTCTTCCTGTCAGTATATCTGCTTGCCCATACATCCTGTACAGGAAAGCAGATATACTGACAGATCTGTAGGAGACCTGCATGGCACCAGTGACCAACTGATCACAGGTGCAATGCTTTTTACAGGGTCCTGCAACCAAAAATAATAAATGCACATTTTTCTACCTGCAAAAAAATGTGCATTTACTATTTTTTGTATAAAATTAAACTTATCCTTTAACATTTTTCTGTAAAAATCAGGTGGATTTAAATCCATATTCTATTTTTGGAATGTTTTTATCATGTCTCATTTCATAAAGTTTTTATAGGCACAGATTTTCAATTACGGTAATCTACAATTAAAGTGGAAATTTGGACAAAATAAACAATGACACCTACAATACAGTCTGTCACCAGCATTAACACAGCAGTCTTTGTTTTTCTGCTTACCTCCATAACATAGTTGTACAACCTGTTAATCCCCTCAGTAAGTTTATTTTCTGCCTTCCTTTAACAGATCAAACTGTCCAGCAAAGTGTCATTTAGAGACACTTTTTAAAATTTGAATCCATCTACGACCTTTCCCACTCCACAGAAGCCGATCTGATTGGCTTCTCTTAAATGGGAATGATGAAAATGTTTCTTTCAATCAGTGCATGCAGCAGAAAACCATAGCACTGTGGGGAAGATTCCTCTATCTACCTCACTTGTGTGGATGGAGAAATTCCATTCTTTTTTTTTTATCAGCTTACTGGCTGATTAAAAAAAAAACAACATCTATGGTCAGCTTAAAGTGTTAGTAAAGTCCCCCTATAGTAATTTGTACCTACAGGTAAGCTTACAATCAGGCTTAGTTTTGGTACAATGAATATCTCCCAACCGTGCACCGTTTAGGAGATATTCACATTGGCAATAGCTGATGACGCCACCCGTGCATGCGCAGTGATACTCTGCATTCAGGGCGCACAGTATGCAGTTGAATGCAGAGCACTGTGCCATGGTCAGGACTCCCGTACACATGCACAGGGTTAATGTCATCACGGCTCCAACCACTAAAACAGCTGGAGCCCGTGAACCCAGAAGAAAGACCTGGTGAAGATGGACGTGTCGGGGGATCCATGACAGTGATGCAATCAGGGCTGCTGTTAGAAACCACAGGGCCCTATACAGCCAACCTGGCAGCCCCCCCCCCTCAAAAAAACCCCCAGTTACTATGCTTCAGTTGTGAATGATCACAGTGAGTGATTGGTACCGATCACTCATTGTGTTTATTCAGGAAAGGAGAGGGATGTTAAATGTGACATAATTACCAGACCTTTCCCTCATTCTCCATCCTGAATGATCCTATTGTGTGATTGCAGCTGCCAGTGGGAAGGAAAGGAGGGAAGCTGGCAGCACTGCAGGGGTGGGGTTACACAGGTGGGACCTTGGAAGCAGGGGGAATGTATGGCTCATGGGGAGGGTGATGAGTGTGGCTGGGGGCAATTACTGGGGCTGATCTCCTGTATGGTTCTCTCTGCAACAGCTGAAAGCCAGCAGGAGGGAGAGGAGAAGAAGCCAGCTTTCAGTGGGAGGGGATCAGTTCTAGTAACTGCCTCCCCCTCCCACTGCGCTGATCACCCTCCCGCCCACATCAAATCAACCTGCTGGCCTGGGCCCCGTACAGGAGGACTGCTGGTACCTCCTTATCAACAGCTCTGGCTGCAATGGAGGGCTCTGTGTGCAGGTAAGTGTGTCATAATCTCTTAAATTGTAAGCTCTAATGAGCAGGGCCCTCTGTTTCCTCTTGTACCAAATTGTATTGTAACTGTAATCTCTACCTTCATTTTGTAAAGCGCTGCGCAAACTGTTGGTGCTATATAAATCCTGCATAATAATAATAATGTGCTTGTATGCAGTGCATACTAGCACATTATTGGATAAACCAGTGAAGGACCCATTTTTTTCTTGGTTGACTACTGCATTAACACGTACAGGGGAGCTTACAATGATCAGCTTTTGGTTTGCATAATTAAAACCTTTATCCAAAAAGGAAAAAAAAAGTTTCTGTAATTACTTAAAAATGTTATCCGGAGTTAGGCTTTAATTGCTATTTATTCTATAATGTAACTACTAGTCTATCTTATACTACCCTCTGCACAGACTGACAATGCTGCTGTCCAAGGGTGGCTATGCTGCTGCTCCTATTCAGAGTCCATAGACCATGAGCACAAGCAAATATACTAGATCAACCAGTGAGCCAATGTTTTGGCATGTTATACATCCAGGTGTGAAGGTGCTCAATCCCACCACCAAAGGTAACTTTGGCCGCTCACCTTACCAACGTGACCCCTAAGCTAACAGGAAAGTCATAGCATGCATTTCCACATGGGGGTCACACTTGAATGAAGACTCTGATGTCCCATAATGCACTCACATAAATATGTCATCAATATGTCCCACAGATATATGAAATAAAAAAGGGAGATAAATAGTGCTCTCTGCTACACAATTTTACATATTTCAGCACTTGTCACAAGTGCATAAATGAACGCTCATAATACAAGGGAAAACGTTAAATGTTACGTCCTGGGTGGGACTTTGTCAGCAGGAACCTCTAGAGACTAGGTGAACTGTATACATTAACTACAAACATTTCCAGTAAAATGCAGTTCTTGTACCATTTTCTTTTCAAGCTCAAGCTTGAAGCTTTAAATCCTACTGTCATTTCTAAATTTAACAACATAAAGCTACATTTCTAAGAACCGTGCATAGGAAGTAGATTGCTGCTTATACCTCTGAAAATTATGTAGAATATAGCAACTTTTGCCTCCTGCTGAAGTCTTGGGTAGATTATTTTTAATTTGGAAAGCAGAGAATTCAGTTTTTTTGTACAACTCCTCATTACATGTGGCATGCAATAATCTTTAAAAATAAATTGAAAATAGCGTCCGCTGTGCTCCAAGCTGCTTTTCAAGGCTGTATGCAAAAACCCACAATACAATAGTCTATTTAAAATCATTTTATTTAAAATGTCTTATCTTTAATTCAAATCTGTAATTTGTTCATGCAGGGCAAAAGAACAGATTCAGTTTGATAAATAAAAAATATTATATGTTTTACTAATGACTAAATGACAATCTTAGGTGCTTATATGCTACTGTAGGGTTCTTTATAATAACAGGTTTGCTTGCTAGAAAAGATTTTGCAGAATAATCCTATAGAACAAGTTGTTTTTCTATTCTAGGATGTCTTGTTTGATGTGTAGTGACGGCTAGTTTCTGCATCTAGGTAGCAGTCAAGCTGATGTGTTTCAAAACAACAGAAATTAATTCCTATTGTATATATTTTATGTGTTAAATAAATGAAACAAATGTGGTACTCTATCTCCTCATAAATAAAACCATATATTTTGAGAACATAAAGTGACAGTCCAAAGAAATGTGTAATAGAATTATGATAATGAAAGTCCAATCCAGTATATATTGTGTTAACATCCAGCAATAATCAACAACGTGCTTGAATTGTGGTCCCACTCCCTGCTCACCTTGACCATTGACCTTTAAGTTATAATAGGCCAAAAACGCTTTATAAGGAAAGTGTATCTCCAAATTTCTGATCCGTGCCGTGTTCCTTCCACGTATTATGCCTCTTTAACAGCCTCCCACCCGCCATACAGTACAATGAGTACGCAAGGCTCTCTCATTCTGGGAGGACGTCATATGACGTCCTCCCATTCTAACTGCGCATGCGCGGCTCTGGGAGCACTCAGCGCGGCGATCGGCAGTGTGCTGTCCCTCGGACACAATGGATCACCAATCAACGGAAAGAGCCGAAAATGTCGGCTCAGTCATGTGATCAGCTGTGTCCAATCACAGCTGATCACATGTAAATAGGGAAATGCCGGTTATCAGCATTTCTCTCCCTCTCGAGCTGTCACGCTGACAGCTCGAGAGGAGAGCGGGTAATCGGCATTCCTCAGAGGGGACATGTACACTGATCATCAGGGCACTAATGATCAGTGTGCCCTGATGATCTGTGTAGCCCCAGCAGTGCCACCTGTCAGTGTCCATCAATGCCAGCTGTCAGTGCTCATCAATGCCACCTGCCAGGGCCCATCAGTGCCACATCAATGCCACATATCAGTGCCTACCAGTGCACATCAATGTCAGTGCCCATCTGAGCTGCCTTTCAGTGTCACCTATCAGTGCCAGTCAGTGCCACCTATCAATGCCAGTCAGTGCCACATATCAGTGCTGCCAATCAGTGCCATCAGTGCCAGTCAGTGCCACCTATGAGTGCCAGACAGTGTCGCCTATCAGTGTGCATCAGTGCCACCTATCAGTGCCTGTCAGCGCTGCCTATCAGTGCCACCTAACAGTGCCAGTCAGTGCTGCCTATCAGTGCCATATATGAGTGTTGCCTTTCAGTGCCCATCAGTGATGCCTGTCAATGCCCATCAGTGCCACCTACCAGTGCCTCCTCATCAGTGTCTATCAGTGCAGCCTATCAGTGCCCATCACTGAGTCTCATTAGCGCACATCAGTGAAGGAGAAAAATCGCTTATTTACAAAATTTTATAACAAAAACTAAGAAAAAAATTTTTTTTTCATAATTTTTAGTGGTTTTTGGTTTAAGAAAAAATAAAAAACCAAGAGGTGAATAAATACTACCAAAATAAAGCTCTGTCACAAAAAAATGATAAAAATTTCATATGGGTACAGTGTTGCATGACCGCGCAATTGTCATTCAAAGTGCAATAGCGCTGAAAGCTGGAAATTGGCCTGGGCAGGAAGCCTGTAGGCTAGTGGTTAAACTCCAGATCCGTGCAAAATAAAACAAAAACATACCATAGTGCAATACCGTTTTGTATAACCAAAATTTAAACGTGCTACAATATCCACTCACATTAAACAAATTACATGTTACTCTGAATTAAGGTGAACAATAACATATATTACTCCACCGTGCCAACTATATTGTGGTGTTTCCCATCACCGGGTAGGTGCACCATGCACTCACCTTCTTCCCTGACCTAGCAGATATTATTATTATTATACAGGATTTTTAGACTCAACAGTTTGCACAGCGCTTTACAAAATGAAGGTTAACATTACAGTTAAAATACAATTTGGTACAAGAGGAAACAGAGGACCCTCTGCTTACAATCTAGGCGGAAGGGTTGAATGATACAAAAGGTAATAGCTGTGGGGGGATGAGCTGATGGAGGAAATAAATGGTGGTTTACTAGGTAGAAGCAGGATAGACTTCTTTAAAGAGAAAGGTTTTCAGGGATCATGTAAAGGTGGATAGATTAGGAGACAGCCGGACAGATTGGAGTAGGTTGTTGCATAGGATGGGAGAAGCTTGGGAGAAGTCCTGGAGGCAAGCATGAGAGGAGCTAACACGGAAACTAGAGAGCAGAAGGTCTTGGGAGGATCGAAGAGAGCGGTTTGGTTGATATTTTGAGACCAGGTTGGTGATAAGCTGGGGCAGAGTTGTGGATGGCTTTGTAAGTTGTTAGTATTTAGAATTTTATTCGTTGAGCAAGTGGAAGCCAGTGGAGGGATTGGCAGAGAGGGGTAGCAGACACTGAGCAGTTGGTGGGTGGATGAGCCTGGCAGCAGCTTTCATGGTGGACTGGAGGGGGGATAGCCTATGTAAAGGTAAGCCAATGAGGAGGGAATTGCAGTAGTCGAGGCGAAAGATTACCAGGGAGTGAATTAGGAGCTTTGTGGTATCATTGGTTAAAAAGGAGCATATTCTGGAGATGTTGTGGAGGTTGAGGAGGCATAATTTGGACAGGGATTGGATGTGGGCCTGAAAGGATAGTTCAAAATCCAGGGTTACACCTAGCACCTTGGCATGCAGGGATGGGTTGATAGTGGTGCTATTGATCCTGACTGAGAAATCAGGGGAAGAGGCACGTGGGGGAGAAAATATTATGAGCTCAGTTTTGGATAGATTGAGTTTTAGGAAGTGGTGTGACATCCAGTCTGATATGTCTGTTAGTAAGTCAGTGATACGTGTGGAAACTGATGGGGTGAGCTGAGGAGTAGAGAGATATATTTGTGTGTCATCAGCATAGAAATGGTATTGGAAACCATGGGAAGCTATCAGCTGACCCAAGGAAGAAGTGTAGATTGAGAATAGGAGAGGTCCAAGGGCAGAACAACGGGTTCTTGGTAATGTGTAAGGGCCTCCATGCACAAGTTAGCCTCTCTACTTCCTAATCTATGCTTTTACTTTTCAACTCTTTTCTTCTAAATAAACCTTCAAAACAGTTCACCATGAGCAGAGTTTGTTGTTTTCCTTATCAGTTGCTTGAAAATTGTGGACCATCTACACTTCAGCCGCATCTCTGATTTGTAAGTCACGGGACCTGAATTGCGAGTGATACTCAGTGGCTGCAGTTAAGACTTTGCTTCCTATCTACCTGATAATTGGGGCTAATTGTGGGAAAAGATGCTGACAATGATACCAATGTCCCTCTCATTGTGAATTTTCTCTTTAATTATTTTTAACTTTGTTGCCTAACTAACCTAGTTGCTAAACGTGAGGTCTGGTGAATCCACACCACTGTGGATGTCTCCACTGCTGCATTGTGGTAGGCAGTCCCAGGGTGTCAGGGATGCAATGATAACTGCAACCACATAACAGACTAACTTTTATCCTGTGAACTGCACCTAAGTTGATGCTTTTCACAACTACCTGCTTAGCCTAAAAGTAGGTGGTGGTATGATGTGCGCCTGCTCCACAAAATGACAGCCCTGTGTGGCCAGTAGTGGATTACCTGCTATTAATTTGAGTGCACACTACAGGTATAGGAATAATCTCTGGAAGGTATTTCAGCTGAGAGGAGTCCAGGACTTCAAGAGTGCCACTGAAAAGGCTAAACACATATGTGGTTTAATATATATGACAGAGTTTAAAAGAGTGCAGCTGCTGTATTACATTCAAAATTAAGGAGCTTTATACAGTTGTGCTGAAAATTTTGCATATCCTGGCAGAAATCATGAGATTTTGGCATTTTCTATTGAAAAAAGGACTGATTCTGCCAAAAACAGTATTTTATTTAAGGATAGTGATCATATGAAGCCATTTGTTATAACTTAGTTGTTTGGCTCCTTTTTAAATCATAATAAAACAGAAATCACCCATATAGCCCTGATCAAAAGTTCACATACTATGGAATATTTGACCTTGGTACAGACACACAAGGTGACAATGGCAACTAAAGGTTAATTTGCCACATCTGGGACTTTTTAAATTTCAAATAGAGTCTGTGTATAAATAGTCAATGAGTTTGTTAACCCCCACATGGATGCACTGAGCAGGCTTGATACTGAGCCATGGGGAGCAGAAAAGAGGTGTCAAAAGACCGCGTAACAAGGTAATGGAACGTTATAAAAATGGAAAAGGATATAAAAAGATATCCAAAGCTGTGAATATGTCAGTCAGTATTGTTCAATACTTAAGAAGTGGAAAGTTCAGGGATCTCTTGATACCAAGAAAAGATCAGATAGGCAAAGAAAGATTGCACAACTACAGGAAGAATTGCTTGGGATACATAAAGAAAAACCCTTAGGTATCCTCAGGAGAAATACAAGCTGCACTGGAAAAAAGATGATGTGGTTGTTTTAAGGAGCACAATACAGCGATACTTGAGTTACTGCACCAATGCCACAAAAAAAGCCTGGTTACAATATTATTATTATACAGTATTTATAAAGCGCCGATAGTTCGCTCAGCGCTGTACATTACAAAGAGGGACAGAACATGTGACAGAACAATAACAATACAATGCAAAACATGAGGGGATTGAGGGCCCTGCTCTAATATGGCTGACAGCACCTTGACACACCTCACAGATTCTGGTACACTGTAATCTGGAGTGACAAGACCAAAATAGAGCTTTATGGTCACAACTGGGAAAAATAAAAACGCTCAATTTTAAGAGAGCTAATTTTTTAAGGCTGAGAGTTGCTCTCCAAGACTTAGACTGGGAGTGAATATTGGCATTGATGAACACAACACAGAAATGGGAGTTCTTCAAAAAGACTGTATGTGAACAAACTGCAAAATATATTCCCATGGGCAAGTTTAAAAGGCTAAAAATCAAACCTATGTGGCTTACGGCCAAAGTTACAAAAGCTATTGATAATAAGAAAAGAGCTTTTATTAGATATAAAAATGAAGGACCACTACCATTGTTTAAACATTACAAAGAATATAACAGAATATGCAAAAAGGAAATAAAGACCACAAAAATTGAAAACGAACAACAGATTGCAAAGGATAGCAGGACCAACCCCCAAAAATTCTTCAAATATATTAATAGTAAAAAGGTATGGATAAACTTTGGGTATAGAATTATAACTTTTTTTTTTTTTTTTTTAATGGTTGAACTGGATGGACTTGTCTTTTTTCAGCCAGACTAACTATGTAACTATATGTAACTCTATGTTTGGAGAGAGGCCTCTAGCAACAAGAATACTATTCCAACTGTGAAGCATGGTGATGGCTTACTGATGTTTTGGGGTTGCGTGTGCTCTAAAGGCACAGGGAATCTTGTGAAAATTCAAGGCAAGATGAATGCAGCATGTTTCATAAAATACTGGCAGACTATTTGCATTACTTTGCACAAAAGCTGTGCATGGGGTGCTCTTGGACTTTCCAGCACGACAATGACCCTAAGCACAAGGCCAAAGTTGACCCACCAGTGGTTACAGCAAAAAAAGGTTCTGGAGTGGCCAGCACAGTCTTCTGACTCTGTGAAGATCTCAAACGTGTGGTTCATGCAAGACGACCAAAGACTTTGCATGGCCTGGAGGCATTTTGCCAGTATGAACAACTAACTATTCCACCTGCAAGAATTCTGGACCTTAGAAAACTATAACAAAAGACCTACGGTCATCAATGCTAAAGGGGGCAATACACAGTATTAAGAACTAAGGGTAAGCAGACTTTTGAACAGGGGTCATTTCATTTGTTTACATGTTGCCATGTTTTGTTTTATGATTGTGCCATTCTCTTATGACCTATAGTTGAATATAAATCTGGAAAAAGGCAGTGTTTTTTTCTTAAGGAGTACAAATGATCTGCATGGTCGAGTTGCCAGAAAGAAGCCTCTATTGCACCAATGCCACAAAAAATCTTAGTTACAATATGCCTATCAATGCCTTGACACGCCTCAATGGGATTTCTTGTGGCACTGGTACAGTAAAGGCTTCTTTCTGGAAACTCAGCATGCAGCTCATTTTTGTTTGAGTATCATATTGTGTTCTTTGAAACAACCACACTGCCTTTTTCTAGAGCAACATGTATTTTTCCTCAGGTTAACTGTGAGTATTTCTTTGTATCCCAAACAATTCTACTGGCAGTTGTGGCTGCACTTTTTCTTGGTCTACCTGACCTTGACTTGTTATCAAGTCACTTAAAAGTGATTGAACAATACTTACTGGCATATTAAGGACTTTGGATATTTTTTTTTTCCTTTTCCATCTTTATGGTATAAAGTTTGATTGCTTTGTTACTCAGGTCTTTTGACAGTTCTTTTCTGCTCCCCATGGCTTGATATCTAGCC